GGACTTGTCAAATGGCAATCATATCTATTCCCTGTAGAGGAGGGTCTAATTCACATAGTCGGCCTACATTTTCACAGCTTGCTGTTGCTGCATCTGACAGCCCGGCTGGTATGGTGACAATGGGTTTGTCCTCTAGGGTTGCCCAAATTATTATTTTCTCTCTCACAAACCCTCCACTTGCAGATCATATGACACTAAGTGAGGTAGTAAAAAATACAGGTGCCGGTTGAAAAGGCAGGAACACCCCAAGGGGAGGGGAGCACTCCTGGTGATATAGGAAGTGCTGGGAAGTTTTGCCAGCTTTCACCTCTGTGGCTGGTCTGCATATGTGCAGTCCCCAATGTGTCCCTGTGCAGAAGACTACCCAATGAACAACAGTTAGAGGTAACGGCTACCCTGTTTTCCTAACATTCTGACTGGAGGGGGGGGTAGAGTGCTATATAATTATGAGCTGGCTGGGTTGGTTCTCAGGAAGCCAGGCCAGCAGTTGGCATCCCCAGGAACTTTTGGGGTGAGGTGATGGGCAGAAATGATGTCCAGCAACATCTTATGTGATATCTCTCCAAAAACCCAGATGTGATGTCATGTGTCAGGTGGTGCTCTGGCCTTCCTGGAAAACTTCAGATGGCCAGACCATAGTCCAACACACTGATGTCACATCTAGGTTTTCAGATGGATGTGATGTCACAAGTTGTCAATGTCATTTCTGGCCTTGGTCTGTCTGTCTGTCTGTCTGTCTGTCTGTCTCTCTCTCTCTCTCTCTCTCTCTCTCTCTCCTCCAAAGGCAGGAGGGCGGGCTGGTCTAGTGGGAGGCCTTCCACTACAAGTGGGCTATTGGCATCTCCAGCTGACTCAAAATGTCAAAACCATTTTGTTTTTGCTTTATTGTTTTCATTGTGAGCTGATTACAGCAGATCTGGAGAGACAGCACACAAATTTTCTAAATAAATGAAGCATTTGCCTCAAGTTTTACTGACAGATGGGAGGCTGGGGAGTGGTAGAGAAATACAGGGCAGCAGGTTTGGGAAAGGACTGTAATTCCCCATTGCTCTCTATGTCTCCTGCATGTCAAACTCAACAGGCCTTTAGGTAGTTACTAAAAACAACACTAAGGATAGGTACATCTGAGAATCTCTCTTACAATTCATACTGGCACCCTTTCCCCTCAACCCTTAGAGTTAACTTCTTTCCCCCACCTTACAAAATCACTGCTCTTCATCTAAGCAAGTATATGACAGTACCCTGCTGATATTAAATGAAAATAATTAGTGAGGGTAAGTGCATCACCTTCACAGGGGGTTTTCTCTAAATTCCCTCTCCTTGGAAACTCACCACAGTTCAAACTCAGCATTTTTCCCCCAGATAGCAACAATACTTATATTTTTAATATAACAAAAATTTGGGGATGGATGGGTGGAGTTTATACTTGCTCCTGAGTTTAATCTGTTTCTAATTGTGTGTGTGGGGTTAACAATTGCTACCATTCAATTCCCCCCACCTCAAACAGAGTACATCACTGTTTACACCTTGCTGCTGCCTCAATTGGAAGAATAATTACAGCCATTTTTGCATAATCACAGTTCTCAACAGCTGTAGGACTTAACATTTCCTTATTTAAATTCTGCCTTTCCAATTATTATTGCCAAAAATCATAAAATCAATCTGACAGATAATTATTTGTTTCGAATATCAATCATCACAAAACAAAATAAATTGCCAAAGCAGATCAAAAACAGGGAATTACCAGCAAAAGAGATGATAATAATAATAACAATAACAATAATAATAATTTTAGGCATAATTCTTTTTGGCAAAATGTTAAGAAGCTGCCTTTTCAACATTTCTAGTGCTATTCACTAAATGTTGTTGTTGTTCATTGGACCAAGTCATTTCCAGACAGCACACAATCTAAATATTTGCATGGTATCTCTCTATATAATAATTCTGTTTTGGTCATGGACTCTCCTGAACATTCCACACACTCCCAAATCAGTTGGCTCCCTGATCTGTCACTCAGAAGCTGTCCCTATCCACCGGCTGCGTTGCCTGAGTCTCGCCTCCAATATTCTAAACAGTTTACTGTTCCTCTCCCCCCAATAGCCAGTCGGAACACAGAGGTCATTTGCATATGTGGCGAGATTGGCCTTTGCCTCTAACATTCTAAACACCTTGCTGTTACTGTTGGGAGTCATTGAATGTGTCCTGAGGTAAAATACATATCCCAGTCTTCCCTTAAACGGTCACTGGAGTTGCCAATCTCCCTGTGAGGCCTAGAGATCTCCCAGAAATCACCGTGTTCCCCAGCCACAGCACATCATTTCCCCTACAGGAAATTTCCCAGTTATTACATTGCCTGCTTTGGGCTATGGACTCTATGGCATTATACCCTGCTGAGGTCCCTCCGCACCCCAAACCCTGCCCTCCCCAGGCTCTACCTTCAGATCTACAGGTCTGGCCCTCCACTTAGTATTGCCAGTCTCCAGGCAGTACCTGGAGATCTCCAAGATCAGTTCTCCTGGAGAAAATGGCTGCTTTGGGCAATGGACTCTATGGAATTATACCCTGCCAAGGTTCCTCCGCACCCCAAACCCTGCCCTCCCCAGGCTCTACTCCATAAATCTACAGGTATTTCCCAACCCAGAGTTGGCAACCCTGTAACTAGCTATGGGACCACTTTTCAGACCCTTGGAACCCAGAAGACATGGCATAGGAGGAGGTGCTCTTCTACCTTAGCTGCCACTGCATAACCCCAAATCAACATAAGTCAGGGGTGGAGGGAATCATACCATGAGGCTGTCCTTCCATACTACCCACTTGGGGCGGCCAAATGACTTGAGATAGCCCTGTCTTATAGCTAAGCAGAAGCAAATAAACATGGCTTCCCTCCCTCTATTTTCCCCTTCCCTCTGCTGCCCCACCAGCCACAGTCGAGACACTCACCTGGAGCTTCCTTCTAGAGCTCGTTGTATTTCTTCCCACAACAGGCCTTACTCCTAGTATCTTTATAAAGACATGACAGTCACAGATATATTTACCACACAACACACTATAAAATATGTTAACAATAGTTATTAATGTATCTCTCTGGAAGTACTTCAGCAGCTCCAACTACTTCTGCCTTGCAAGTCATCACCATACCTGCACAGCCGATTGGATCCCCCCCCACCAGGTGATGGATGCCTGGATTGTGTGTGTGTGTGTGTGTGGTGGAATGCTGAGACTCCCAATGGACTGCGAGGCTTCACAAGCATGAAATGGCATTAATGACAACATGGAACCAGACAAATACCAAGCAGGAAGACCCCTTTGGAAGGTGCATTTAATTGTGGCCACTGGCTAATGGACCAGTCCTCCCACAGTTTGTCTGAGCAGCTGGTTGCTGAGGGGTGACAGTGGGTCTGGGAGGGAGGGGGGAGAGGGCAAGTCCCATCAGCTGATGGTGTTCATGTGAAAAATGCTCCTGATTACAGTGTGTGGTGTCATGTTACAAGACATGAGAACTAGCCCATGGGAAGCAGAACAGCACATCAAGGGGGTCAGCTTGTGACCAATGGGCAGGGTATGGGCAAAGTCAGCAGGTGTTCAAGCATCCCTACTCCCTAGGGGCAGATTGGCCATTATGGCCACCAGGAAAACTCCCAGTGGAATGATGGCCTGGGGGAGCCACCCTCCCTGCCAAGGCCACTCCAACTTGGGAGCCACTACCCCTGCTGGGGCCACCGCAGCCCAAAGAGAGGGGTGGGCATGAGTCCTCACCACCACAGTGAGTCAGAACAGCAGAAAAGGAGGTGCCAAGCTCAGACTCACCCTGCCTAGCACTGAAAAGAATATGCACAGCCCATCTTTTGCCATGCTTGGCCACTCCTGGCCTTGGCATGGTAAGGGATGCCCCTGGCCATACCAGCCTTGCCGCACACCCAGCTCAGCCTTTCTGCTGTGAAGGACCTGCCCCCAACCCAGCAGCTCAGCCAGATATGTTATGCTTGTGGCAAGTCAGGCATGCTATCTCCTCCAGGGGGGCAGGGCAAGGGGGGCTGGGAGTGGGACCCCTTTCCAGGGTTCCCCCCCGTTCCTCCAATCTGCCTCTGCTACTCTATAGTGGGTATGCCCCCTTTTCCCTTTCCTCTTCCAAACACTCTGGGGTCCCTAGTTCCTTCTCTGGACCTGTTCAGTCTCCTCTCCCTTAGCGTAGGGTGTCTTTCCAGGGATTCCACTTCATGCACCTCCTAGCTGGAGCTTACCTCTTTATTCATTGTCCTGACCAGGGAGAGCCTCAGGCTAACCTCTGCCTTCTTTCCTTCCAATTAAGAAGCAAAGGAAGGTTTTATGTTCCCACAATCCCCTTTGTACCGCCTACTGTCAGGCTCCTCCTCTCTGCCTTTCTCTCCTCCACTTCTCTTGCCAGCCTCTCTCACTTATCCAGCCAAACTTTGGCTTGCTAATGGGCACTTGGGAATGGTGTATGGGGGCGGCGGTGCTCGCGTCCCCGGCGCCTCCAGAAGAGGTGTCTCGGGTTCAACTAAGGGTAGAGGCCGAGGGTCGGCCACCGGGAGTTGGGCCTGGTGTGAGGTCTCCGGAACCTCGGCCATGTCCGAGTCCTTGGGGTCCAATGGCATCATCTGGTGGCGTAGCTGGTCGATGTGCCGGTGTAGAACTTCGCCGTCCTCACACGAGACCTCATGCGATCGGGGGGCCTTAACTCATATGACTCGTGCCTGGATCCAGGCGGGCCCCCGGGCGTAGTTCCGTGCGTACACGGGATCTTCCGGGAAGTAACCCCTGGCTGCCTCGTGCATCTCTGTGCCTGGTGCCTCTGTCGATGCCCGGTCAGGGTGCATACGATCCAACCGGGTTGCCAGGCGGCGGCCCAGAAGTAGCTCTGCCGGACTGCGCCCCGTAGTGGTGTGGGGAGTTGTGTGCTGGCTGAACAGGAAAGCCGCCAGTTTGTAGTCCCAATCTGAGGAGTCCAGGTGGCAGAGGGCATCCTTCATTGTGCAGACCATGCATTCTGCCTGGCCGTTGGTCGCAGGATGAAACGGGGCTGACCGGACGTGGCGGATACCGTAATATCTTGTGAAGTCCTGGAACTCACTTGAGGTAAAAGCTATCCCATTGTCCGTGACCAGCGTGTCGTGGATTCCCTGGGTTCTGAAGATCCGCCACATTGCCCGGATGGCCGCCTTCGATGACGTGGAAGTTATTGGGACTACCTCTAGCCACTTGCTGTAAGAGTCTACCAGTATAAAGAAAAGCTGCCCCTGGAAAGGTCCCGCAAAATCTAAGTGTAACCTAGACCAGGGGCGGTGAGAGGATTCCCAGGCCCTTTCCGGGGCTCGAGGGAGTTCTGTCCGAGAGGTCTGGCAGGTCTGGCACCTCTTTACTACGTCTTCAATGTCTTTGTCCAGCCCCGGCCACCAGACATAACTCCGGGCCAAGGCTTTCATGTGCACCACCCCTGGATGCGCCTCGTGCAGGGCTGTTAGAACTCGTTCCTGTAATGGCTTAGGGATGACCACCCGGCTTCCCCACAGTACACAGCCATTGTGGACAGACAGTTCGTCCTTCCGGGACACGAAGGGAGCCAGGTCCGTGTCTCCTTTGGCCTTGGGCCACCCCCTCACCACCCAGTCCAAGACCCGACAGAGAAGCTTGTCCTTTGAGGTGCAGCGAGCCACCTCCGAGACGTGGACCGGCTGCTCCTGGAGGGACTCCAGCCATGCAACCTGGTGGGCCGGGGCTGGATCTGGGTCACAGACTGGCAGTGGCAAGCAGCTCAGGGCATCCGCATGCCCCATCGCCTTCCCAGGGCGGTGCACAAGAGTGTAGGCGTACCCCGCCGTGAAAATAGACAAGCGCAGCACCCGGGGGGAGATCATCTGAGGGGTTTGGCGGTCGGGGGCGAGGAGGCTCAAAAGTGGCTTATGGTCCATGTGGACTGTGAACGGGTGTCCATACAGATAGTGGTGAAATTTTTTCATCCCCGCCACAATAGCCAAGGCCTCTTTATCAATTTGTGCGTAGTTGCGCTCAGCCGCCAACAGAGTCCGTGAATAATAGGCAACCAGGACCTCGCGGCCATCCAGCAGCCGATGTCCCAGGACCACCCCGACCCCATAAGGCGAAGCGTCACAAGCCAGCACCACGGGGAGGGCCTCATTGAAATGCGCCAGGACCGAATTTGACACCAGCAGGTCCTTAACTGCTTGGAACGCCGCAACTTGCGGCGGGCCCCAGACCCAAGGTGCCGATTCGTCCAGGAGGCATGGAGTGGCTCCGCAACTGCAGCTTTGAGGGGCGAGAAGGAATGATAAAAGTTCAACAGCCCCAGAAAAGCCTGCAGCTCCGCTTTAGATTTTGGGGGCGGTGTGTGTGTGATGGCTTTCACCTTGTCCGTGGTGGGGTGGATGCCGGAGGCGTCGACCGCAAAACCAAGAAACTCCACACGAGGGACCCCCAGCAAACACTTCTCCCACTTGACCTTGAGGCCAGCCGTGTCGAAGCAATGTAACACAGCCCGCAGCCGGTCGGCGAAAGACGAGTGGTCCAGGGCAGTGATCAGCACGTTGTCTAAAATCGGCTGAACTCCAGGGATACCTTTTAGGAGTGAATCCATAAAAGATTGAAAAATACCCGGTGCGACCGAGACTCCAAACTGGAGGCGGTGCACCTTGAAAGCCCCCCTGTGCGTCATGATAGTCTGAGCCTCGGCCACAGCGGCATCAACCGGCAATTGTTGATACGCCTGGGCCAAGTCCAATTTGCCAAACACCCGGGCCCCCGCTAAAGCGGCCAACACATTGCTCACCACTGGCACCGGATACGCATGAGCCTGCAGGGCTTTGTTAAGCATGCATTTGTAATCCGCACAAATGCGTATTTCCCTGTTCGGCTTAACCAGGGTGACTATGGGGGTTTCCCACCGGGCTGACACGACCGGTTCCAGGACCCCTTGTTCCACCAGGCGATCTAGCTCAGCCTCAATCTTAGGCTTCATTGCAATCGGCGGTAGCCTGGCCTTAATGCGGATAGGGCGGACAGGAAATGGGGGGTCCCAAAAACCGCCCCAGGGTACCATCAAATACTCGGGAAAATTCTGCGCACACGGCGCCAAAGTCCTGGGACCGGACTTGGTTGATCCTGTGCAACGACAGTCCCAGAGGGCCAAACCATGATAGTCTCAGCAAGCTTGAGCGCGGTTTCTCCACCACCAGCAGTTCTAAGGGGCCGTTAAAGTCCTGGAACTGCACCCGGAACTTGCCCCAGCCCCGGATCTCCACAGGGTGCTTATTAAAGTCCCGTAAAGCGAACCCCTGTGGTTTCTGCAGGCCCCCCCCACCCGTGGACACAATTTGCGGAGCGTATCCGCAGAGATAAGAGAGTATGAAGACCCCGTGTCTACCTCCATACTGCAGGGGGACCCCTCTATCCTGACAGTGACATGTACTTTGTTGGGGCCATCGGGCGGCAAGTTACATACCAGGTGTTGCTGGTGATGGGCCGATATGGAGTGGAGGTCCATGTGCTGCTCCGGCGTGACCTGGTGGGCTGATGACTTCTGGCGTTGGTCTCTGGAGCGGCAAACCCTGGCGATGTGCCCCGATTTGTTGCATGTGCGGCAGATCGCGTTTTGGAAATGGCACGACCTGTGTTCATGGTCTTCCCCACAGCTGGCGCACAGAGCCAAAGGGGTAGAAGCCTTGCTCATTTTGGAGGATGATTGATGTGGGCGCTGGGATGCCCGCTGGCAGACCTGTAGTACCTCCTCGTCCGAGGCATCGGAGCTGACCGTCACTTGGGTGCGGTGGACCGCCTTGGCGCGGTGGTCTTGATGGGCCTTCTCGTAAGCGGTGGCCTCCCGGATCGCTTTATCCAGGTCCAGGTCATCCTGGCAGACCAGCCTCCTGCGGAGCTTGGGCTCCCTTAGCCCCACAAGGAACTGGGTCAGCAAGGTGTCCACTAGGTGGGGAAAGGAACAATTGATGGCTGCTCGCCTGAGCCCGGCCAATAACTCGGAGGCCGGCTCGTCTGGCCCTTGGACCCGCGCACAAAAGTTCATGCACTTGGCAAACTTTGTGGGCTTCAGCGAGAGGTGGTCGGTCAATGCTTTCACCAGCACGGGGTAGGGCTCATCCTTGGTCTGTGTAGGTGTTATGAGGTCCTTGAGTAGCAAGACGGTGTCCATACCGCACAACCAAAGGAGATGAGCTGTTTTCTTCCCCTGGTCCACAATGTCATGGCAGTCGAAGTAGTTCTCCAGGATCTCGAGCCAGGTCTCCCATTGTGTGGGGCGGGCGATATCGAAGGCAGCGATGCTTTCCTGGGTGGCCGCCATCTTCCTGCTACACGTGGCACGACGGCGGGAACGGCGGGAATTAGCGAGCGTAGGGAAGGAGCAGCGCAGTGCTGCCTTGTAGTCAGTGAGGAGTTGTGGAGCGGCGCAAAGAGCTGCGCCTTCGATGAAAAAGCTGATGCCAGCAGCGGAGGCGATTTCAGCGAGGTGACTCCACATTGGGGCAAGCGGCGTAGATGGCGGAGCGGTGTGGTGCTGCTCTTGGGGTCAGCGGTGCAAGCCTTGGTGTTGCGGTGCGGTGCTGCTCTCGTAATAGGCAACCAGGACCTCGCGGCCATCCAGCAGCCGATGTCCCAGGACCACCCCGACCCCATAAGGCGAAGCGTCACGAGCGGTGTGGTGCTGCTCTTGGGGTCAGCGGTGCAAGCCTTGGTGTTGCGGTGCGGTGCTGCTCTCGGGGTCAGCGGCGCGATGCTCAGAGCTAGGGAGCGGTGTGGTGAGCGGCACTTCTCGAAGATGCTCGATGCTGGTGGTGGTGGCAAATTCAGCGCGGCGGCTCACGGCGATGTCCAGAACGTGGTCTCTGTTCAGAGGGAGATGAATCCCACCTTTGTCGCCAGTGAAAAGTACGCAGACGGAGAGTGATTTCGGCTAAGCGTAGTTTATTCGATCAGGAACAAGACGGCTTTGGCCGGCTCACAGGCCGGCTTATATTCCCCGAGAAACCACCACCCAAAACACACCCCCACTTCCCAATAGGTTATTTACAGTGGCCAAGAGTCCCATTGGCTTCTCGGCCAGGAACCTAGCCCCGATTGGAGCAGGCTAGGATCCGACTTGTCCTCTGCTCTTCCTCAGTAGCATATTGGACACCTTCCGACCTGAGGGGCTCATCTTCCGGCGTCATATCTTTTAGCCTTTTGATACTGTCCATGGGGACAGATTGATATCTTACAGCATGATAAAAAGTAGAGACATCACCATGCCAACAAAAATCCGCATGGTCAAAGCAATGGTATTCCCAGTAGTCATGTATGGCTGCGAGAGTTGGACTATAAGAAAGGCCGAGTGCTGAAGAATAGATTATTTTGAACTATGGTGCTGGAGAAGACTCTTGAGAGTCCCTTGGACTGCAAGAAGATCAAATCAGTCAATCTGTGGATGTGTCTGATGGTGAAAGGAAAGTCCGATGCTGCAAAGAACAATACTGCATAGGAACCTGGAATGTAAGATCTATGAATCAAGGTAAGCTTGACGTGGTCAAAAATGAGATGGCAAGACTGAACATCGATATCCTAGGAATCAGTGAACTAAAGTGGACAGGAATGGGCGAATTTAACTCAGAAGACCATTATATCTACTACTGTGGCCAGGAATCTCGTAGAAAAAATGGTGTGGCCTTTATAGTCAACAAGAGAGTGCAAAAGGCAGTACTGGGATACAATCTCAAAAATGACAGAATGATTTCTGTCCGATTCCAAGGCAAACCATTCAACATCACAGTAATTCAAGTGTATGCCCCAACCACTGATGCAGAAGAGGCTGAAGTGGACCGGTTCTATGAAGACCTACAACACCTCCTAGAACTAACACCAAAAAATGATGTCCTCATCATCATAGGGGACTGGAATGCTAAAGTAGGAAGTGAAAAGGTAACTGGAATAACAGACAAGTTTGGCCTTGGAAAGCAAAATGAAGCAGGGCAAAGGTTAACAGAGTTTTGTCAAGAGAACACACTGGTCATAGCGAACACCCTTTTCCAACAACCTAAGAGGCGACTCTACACATGGACATCACCAGATGGGCAACACCGAAATCAGATTGACTATATAATTTGCAGTCAAAGATGGAGAAGCTCTATCCAGTCAGTAAAAACAAGACCTGGAGCTGACTGTGGTTCAGATCATGAGCTACTCATTGCAAAATTCAGACTTAAACTGAAGAAAATTGGGAAAACCACGAGGCCATTCAGGTTTGACCTAGATCGCATCCCTGATGAATATACAGTAGAGGTGAAGAATAGATTCAAGGGTCTGGATTTGATAGATAGAGTGCCTGAAGAACTATGGACAGAGGTTCGTGACATCGTACAGGAGGCAGCAATCACCACCATCCCAAAGAAAAAGAAATGTAAGAAAGCAAAGTGGCTTTCTGATGAGGCTTTACAAATAGCAGAGGAAAGAAGGAAAGCGAAAGGCAAAGGCGAAAAGGAAAGATTTACCCAACTGAACGCAGATTTCCAGAGAACAGCAAGGAGAGATAAGGAGGCCTTCCTGAATGAACAGTGCAAAGTAATAGAAGAAAACAATAGAATGGGAAGGACTAGAGATCTCTTCAAGAAAGTTGGAGAAATCAAGGGAGCGTTCCATGCAAAGCTGGCCATGATAAAGGACAAAAACGGTAGGGACCTAACAGAAGCAGAAGAGATTAGGAAAAGATGGCAAGAATACACAGAAGAACTATACAAGAAAGACCTCGATGTCCTTGACAACCACGACGGTATAA